CCGCAGGTTCGACCTGCTGGGCTCTGGCGATCCTTCCGCCTCAGCCTTCCAAGTAGCCAAAATTACAGGCATGCGCTACCATGTTCGGCTGATTTCTTGATTTGTTGTAGAGATGAGGTCTCGCCACCCAGGTGGGTCTCAAACCCGTGGGCTCAGGCAATCCACTCACCTCAGCCTCCCAAAGGCGCGGAATTACAGGCTGAGCCACCGAGCCCGGCTAATTTATTTTCTAAATAAACTATATTTTCTTTTCTTTTATTTTTTGAGTTGGAGTCTCATTCATTCGCCCAAACTGGAGGGCAGTGGTCATTCCCAGCCACCGCAGCCTCAACCTGCTGGGCTCCGGCGATCCTTCCGCCTCAGCCCTCCAAGTAGCTGGAACTACAGGTGCTTGGTACCACGCCTGGCTAGTTTTTGATTTATTGTAGAGATGAGGACTCGCCAAGTTGCCCAGGCAGGTCTTGAACCCACGGGCTCAGGCAATCCATTCACCTCGGCCTCCCAAAGGCGCAGGATTACAGGCTGACCCAGCGAGCCTGGCTGAAATTACTTTTAAACATCAAAGAATAGTTGTAATAGCAAATATATCCAGCACTTGATATACGCCAGGCACTATTTTAAATGATTTACAATGATTAACTCATTTAATTCTCACTATGATGAGACAGGTGCTATTATCCCCATTCTATATATCCAAAAAATGAGGCACAGACAGGTTAAGAAAGTTGCCAAATCACTAGTAAGTGGTAGAGCTGAGGTCCAAACCTCCTAGCCATGGGTTCAGGTTCTTAGCAACTGCTCTATACTGTAGAAATGCCATGATTTCCATCTTAAAAGATTCTAACCACACATGTCTGCATCCACTTGTCCTCCCCCGATCCTTTTTACTAAAAGCCAGTGGAAAACTTGGCATGGATAGGCACTGGACCAGCACTTTGAACCTAGCCAGGTTGTTGCCAGTTCTAGTACTTTGACAACAGATAAAGAGTATTTTGAAACAGGGTGAAGAAACTGTGCTATTACAGAACTTTGTTCTTCAAATGGATTGGGCTGACTCAGGAACTGCAGACTGAAGCAAAAGTATAACCCCTAGATTACCAGAAGTCAGTAACCACCAGGAAGAAAGGGAATCCTGCTTAAAGGCAGCATTCCTGAAGCTCCACTGTGAGAAGTGTGTCAAGAAATCGTTGGGAGATCCTGCATTATGGCTGGAAGGCTCTTGATCACTTGCCATTGGTACCAGAGCAATGTTCAAATAATCCTTTGGATATGTGCTTTGTTTCCATGCCTTGTGAAGTAGCACATGAGCTATCAACAGAGGTCAGTCTCTTCAAGAAAAAGCTAACAGGCTAAGCAAAAGGTTGAAGAAGGGATGAGAACTTCACAACACCACAGCAAGCAAGTTAAAAAAAAAAGTTTAGCCAGGCATGGTGGCTCATGCCTGTAGTTCCAGTTACTTGGAAGGTTTAGGCAGAAGGATCACCTGAGCTCAGCAGGTCGAGGCTGTGGTGGCCGCCACTGTACTCCCGCCTGGGTTACAGAGTGGCACTCCAACTCAAAAAAGTTTCAAGTACTTCATTCAAAAGGCCATGGAATAACAAGTGCTAGGAAGAGTGTGGAGAACTCGAAACTCTTGTAAACCGGTTGTGCAACTGTACAATGGAGCAGCCGCTTTAGAAAACTATCTGGGGCAAGTTCCTCAAAACATTTGACCCAGCAATGCCATGCTTGGCTAAATACCCAAGAGAAATAAAAACTCATATCCACATAAAACCGTGTACATAAATGATCACAGCAGCATTATAGTCAAAGTAGAAACAATCCAAATGTTCAACAGCTGAGGGATAAATAAACAAAATATGATGCATCTATATAATGAAATCTTATATTTGGCGATACTGAAAGAAACAAGTTGCAAAAGAGCCCACTATCATGAAATACCCAGAACAGGCAAATCTGTTAAGATGAAAAGATTCATGGTGGTTTAGGGCGAGGAGATAAACAGATTGGAGGATTATAACTGAAGAGTCCAGGGCTTCTTTTTGAAGTGAGAAGTATATTTTAAAATTAATTATGGTGATAGTTGCCCAACTCTGTGAATATACTAAAAGTCACGTTTTAAATGGGTGAACTATGTAGTATGTAACATATCTCAATAAAGCTGTAACTACAAAAAAAAAAAAAAAAAAAAAAACTTAGGTCAGGCTCGGTGGCTCAGCCTGTAATCCCAGCACTTTGGAAGGAAGGGCGAGTAGACTGTCTGAGCCTGCAGGTTTGAGACCAGCCCGGGCAACTTGGCAAGACCTCGTCTCTACAGTAAGTCAACAATTAGCTGGGTGTGGTAGTGGGCACCTGTAGTTCCAGCTACTTGGAAGGCTGAGGCGGAAGAACTGCCGGAGCCCAGCAGGTCGAGGCTGGGGTGAGTATGCCACTGCACTCCAGCCTGGGCAACGGAGTGAGACACCAACTAAAAAAAAACAAAGCTTAAAGAAGTTATCAAAACCAATACCAAAATGGCCAGCGGACAGCAAATCAAATAATGTGACTCGGGATAATTCTGATCTCCTAGCTCATGAGACCCAAGGGCAGGAATCTTGTTGTCGTCATTTTTGTATCCACTGTGCTTGGTGATGGTGGGATTCCAAAGAGCCCTATGCCTTCCTTGCCTTTTCCTAAGACCATTACGTTTCATTCTAAAAACAGAGGTCTTCAACGATACTCTAAGGGGTTTACGAGAACAGTGACAGTGCAGCCTCTTTTCAAGTGCAGTGAATCTTGGGGAAACCCGGAGAGCTTGAGTTTGTCTTCCTGTTTCTCCATCCTGTTGGACCTGGGTGATATGAAGCAGGATGAGGAAACAAAACATCCAGAATGTACACTTGTGACTATGACAGTGAAATGGAAAGAACCAGGGACACAAATGGCATTTCTGATTGTTCCAGAGAGAAGAGTAGAACTTACAGAGGTGCTGCCTTGCTCGACCAAGACAAATCAGACGCTTCCAAAAACTGGTCAAGTAGTTGAAATATCCTAGAACTTCAGTAGAACTTCTGAGGAAATACTACTGGGGGGAAAGTAGCATTTCACCCAACTATGCCATTTTTTCCTACTTCTTTTAGTCTTCTCTCTCATCCGTGACTACCAAAATACTACTGTTACCCCGACTGCTCCCATGCACTGGAAAACCTCTCATTACTGAAGAGAATGAGTAAGCAAACAAGAATGGCCTCTTTGGACTTCAATCTGACAAACAAGCAACAACTGTTGGAATACAAAAGAAAAACCCACAAATTATTTGAAAAATCAAAGAAAACGAATGTTTCCTACACAAGAGGAAAATTATAAAATAGATCCAGAAATAAAGAAGTAAAGCCATGAACGGTATAGAAGCCACGTAGCTCAGAACATTTTCTTTGGCAGGAAAATGCACCTATGACAGTATGTGAAGGAAAGACAAAACTTATCCTCTAACTTAACATGAAGATTAAGCGATAAAAGTCTCTGTAAAATGCTCCACATGGAGCCAGGAATATAGTAACACCAAATCAATGGTAGCTCTGCTATCGAAGTGTGTAACAATGAAATAAGCAACCATAGCCAGGCTTGGTGGCTCAGTCTGTAATCCCGCGCCTTTGGGAGGCTGAGGTGAGTGGATTGCCTGAGCCCGCGGGTTCTAGACCCGCCTGGGCAGCGAGACCTCATTTTACAATAAATCAAAAAATCAGCTGCGCGTGGTAGCACATGCCTGTAATTTCGGCTACTCGGAAGGCTGAGGCGGAAGGATTGCCGGAGCCCAGCAGGCGAGGCTGCGGTGGCCGGATGCGGCCACGGCACTCCAGTCTGGGCGACTGAGTGAGACTCCAACTCAAAAAAAAAAAAAGAAATAAGCAACCATAACAAGATAGTCACTAACATTTCCTGTTAGTGAAGACAAAGCGGAAAGTTCATCAGTGGTATTGGGGCCTAGAGCAATGAAGGTACAGAGCCAAGTTTTCCTAAATATATAATTCTAGAATTCCACCTCACCATACCCAGTCCAAAGAGTCTGGAATCCTGCCCTAACACAGTCACAATTATGTTACCATAAATCTATCACTATTTCAGAACCAAACCTGTTCATTCGTTTACAGTAAGGACTTCTTGGTCCTGCAGAAGATAATCGATATCTTGGTCTTGCAGGAGAAGCTGGGCCACTATAAAATATGTTAGGCTTTCTCTGGTGACGAGGTTCTAAAAAAAGAAATACATACATGACATACAAATATGAAGATAATTTTACTCTTCATTTAAATACTTACAAAGGTGTGCCCTCCATGACAGTCCTAGTAAGTATCTACTACAGAATATGTTGCTGCTCATGTTTTAAATCATGCAGCTGAAAATATGTACAGCACAGACACCAACCAAAACACACTGGCCATAAAGAACCACTGTGAGGGTACAGATGCATAACCGGTGACTACCAGCCCTGTATGTAAATGTTCACAAGTACCGAGGTATAATGTTAACATAAATAAGAAGCAGTCCTACCTAGGCAAACTGACAAATCAAGCAGAAAGCTATGCAATCTAAAAGAGAAGTCAACAGCTTAAGGCAACAGTCATGAGTACTCAGCAAAATGAGAACATAAAAGTACCAAAAAATACCACAGGAGGGACGGCAGAAACAAAGCCCACACAAACACACTTCCCTGGAAAGCCTACGCCTAGCACTTACTTTCCGACGGAGCTTGGTAGTGAACAGTGGCCTTCCTCTGCCTCAGATAGTACCGTTTCTGATTATCGTCTCCATCTTCTTCATCATCTTCATCCTCCCCATCCCCTTCATCTTCTTGGTCTTCACCCTCTTCAGATGAGTCTACAATCAGGAAAAATTTGCTTCCAAAAAGACACTCAGCAAAATGCTAACCGTTTCTAATAGTGGGGATTTTAGAGTAAAAGAGACCCACGCCACTTCTTAAATTTATCCACTTCTAGACTGTTCACAGAAATAACTTGTCATTCTTTGGGATCATTGAAAGACTGCAGAATTAAAAATTAGAGGAGGCTGGGTTCAGTGGTTCAGCCTATAATTCCAGCATTTCGGGAGGCCGAGGCAAGTGGATTCCTTAGCCCGCAGGTTCGAGACCAGCCCAGGCAACTGTGTGAGACCTCATCTCTACAATAAATTTTTAAAAAATTAGGCTGGGCTTTGTGGCTCAGCTGTAATCCTGCACCTTGGGAGGCCAAGGTGAGTGAATTGCCTGAGCCCGTGGGTTCGAGACCTGCCTGGGCAACTTGTCAAGACCTCATCTCTAAAATAAGAAAAATTAAAAAAAATTAGCCAGGCGTGGTAGTACGCGACTGTAGTTCCAGCTACTTGGAAGGCTGAGGCGGAAGGATCGCCAGAGCCCAGCAGGTCGAGGCTGCGGTGGCTGGGAGCAGCCACTGCACTCCAGTCTGGGCGACAGAGTGAGACTCCAACTCAAAAAAAAAATTATCCAGGCATGGTAGCACGCGCCTGTAGTTCTGGCTACTTGGAAGGCTGAGGCAGATGGATTGCTGGAGCCCAACAGGTCAATGCTGGGGTGTCTATGAGCGTGCCCACTGCACTCCAGCCTGGGTGATGGAATGAGACTCCAACTCAAAAAACAAGAGGAAGAGAAAAAAGAAAGAAAAGAGAAAAGTTTGAAGGCTACTGCTAGCATATACCAAACTAAAGTTTATAGTGTTCCTGTGAATTTCATGAATACAGAGGACTATACTTAAGCTTCTATTTAGAGTAACAGTTCAACACATTTTTAGATCTCCTCACTTAGCTTTTGTCTTTAATTTTTTTTTTTTTTTTTTGAGTTGGAATTTCTCACTGTCACCCAGGTTGGATTGTAGTGGCACACACACAGCCACCACAGCCTTAATCCAATGGGCTCAGGCCATCCTTCTGCTTCAGCCTTCCTAGTACTTGGAACTACAGGCAAGTGCCACCATGCCCAGCTAATTTTTTGAGTTATTGTAGAGATGAGGTCTTGTCCAAGTTGCCCATGCCTTGAACCCTTGGGCTCAGGCAATCCTCTCACCTTGGCCTCCCAAAGTGCTCCCAAAGATTATAGACATGAACTACTGAGCTCAGGTTCTTTTCATCTTAAATTTGACATTTCATCCAACCCTCTGGCTGTCCTTCAGTTACAAGTCACCTAACTCAACCTACCTATGATAATGGTAACACAACCTTACCAAACTTTTTTTTTTTTTTTTTTTTGAGTTAGTGTCTCACTCTGTCGCCCAGATTGGAGTGCAGATGGCCGCTCCCGGCCACTGCAGCCTCGACCTGCTGGGCTCTGGCGATCCTTCCACCTCAGACTTCCAAGTAACTGGAACTACAGACACGTGCTACCACAGCCGGCTAATTTTTTAATTTATTGTAGAGATGAGGTTTCGCCAAGTTGCCCAGGCGGGTCTCCAACCCGCGGACTCAGGTAATTCACTCATCTCAGCCTCCCAAGGTGCGGGATTACAGACCGAGCCACCGTGCCTGGCTAAAATGTGGTATATCCATACAATGGAATTTATTTTTTTTCCCCTGAGTTGGAGTCTCACTCTGTCGCCCAGACTGGAGTGCAGAGGCCGCTCCCGGCCACCACAACCTCAACCTGCTGGGCTCCGGTGATCCTTCCACCTCAGCCTTCCAAGTAGCTGGAACTACAGGTGCGTGCTACCACTCCTGGCTAATTTTTGATTTAGTGTAGAGATGAGGTCTCGTCAAGTTGCCCAGGCGGGTCTCGAACCTGCAGGCTCAGGCAATTCACTCACCTCAGCCTCCCAAAGCGCGGGATTACAGGCTTAGCCACCGAGCCTGGTTTTAAAACCAAACTTTTAAAATGCATTACAGGAAAGTGGTTTTCTCCCAAGAAAAGTTCTAACAGATTATGGCAATAAGTTCTACATGGAATAGCAAAAACTTAACTTTAATCACCTTCTAGCCAGGCTCGGTGGCTTAGCCTATAATCCCACGCCTTTGGGAGGCCGAGGTGAGTGGACTGCCTGAGCCTGAGGGTTTGAGACTCGCCTGGGCAGGCAAGACCTCATCTCTACAATAAATCAAAAAATGAGCCGGGTGTGGTAGCGCGTGCCTGTAGTTCCAGCTACTTGGAAGGCTGAGGCGGAAGGACTGCCGGAGCCCAGCAGGTCGAGGCTGCGGTGGCCAGGAGCGGCCACTGCACTCCAGTCTGGGCGACAGAGTGAGACTCCAACTCAAAAAAAAAAAAAATCACCTTCTAACTAAAATAGAGAGATATATGATGTTTTGTCTGAAGATGTATTATATAAGCCAATCAATGTCATTTGCTTTAGATACTGATTTTAGTTACTTTACCAAACAAAACTTACTATCCTTTTAAGTACTCCCCCATCCCTACTTTTTCTTTTAAATTATGACCAATCACCTGATCTCTTCAAAAACTGGCAAGTTATAGCTGTTTTCTGCTAAATAAAAAGTCCTCAAACTCAAACCCAGAAGACAGAACAAGCAAAAAGACTAACCCACGCTGCCTTCTTGATTATCAGTTGTCTCTTCATCAGTTCTTTGAATGTCTTTTTGTTTTCCTCTTGTGTACATATTAAGATTGCCCTAAAAATGTTTGAGTAAAATTAATTTTTAGTATTTTTTAAAAAAATTCAGTAACATCCTTTATCTTGCTTAAAATGAAGATATTTACAACTATGAACTCTCACAATTCCTTTTTATTTTATTTATTTATTTTTAAGTGAGAAAGTGGGATTTATCGAGAGGACGGAAGAGCTCCCACAGCGGGAGGGGGCTCAAAGGGGTTGCCCCGAACTCTCACAATTATAACAGTAACTAGTGATTGATCAAATAGATGCTGAACAAACCAGTGAATAATTTGGGTACTATCTGAAAAGATTAAGTTGGAGATTAATATTAAATCATCCCTCTTAATGGAAGAATACAGAATATATTTACTTCAGCTGTTTCATTAAACACTCCCAAGTCTTCAAGTTCTCTCATTCGTCGTCTACGCATCTTCTTCATGTCATCCATTTTTTGAAGTACAGCTTCAGCAGTGCTTTGAAAAAAGTTGATATAAATGTAAGACAAAATTGTAGAGTGGCAGAATTTTCAAAGCTTAATTTTTCTTCCATTCTTGTCTTTTGATGCTAGGGTTTCAAATATTTCTATAAACAGTACCAACTGACTTGTGTAAAGATATTTTAAAAACTTATATCCAATGATTTAAATGCAGAGTTATTACAAAGACCTCGAATAACTGTTTTCCTTCTGCTGCACATAAATGGAATGCAGGAAGTGCTCAGGCTGGTTGAAATTCACGATCCCTTCCCAACAAAAAGTTTCTGCCTGACAAATCATCTTGCTCTACTGAATTTTTACTTACTTTGTTATAAGTTTGTCAAACAGCACTGACTGGTTCACAGCACCATAACGACTTCTGATCCTGCCACTGCGACGCACTTCAACATCACCATTCTCTTCATGCAGGCGTTCTGTAGTTTGAACAATGTTTCTATTCCTCAGTGACCGAGTAACTGGAATCACTTTGTCTTCAGATGTGTACATAAAAAAATAAACAGAAAGATTTGAAAAAACAGTATTTGTAAGACAATTCTAAAATGAGCAACTGAAAAACTATACTTTCATGTAACAAAATTATGGTATCTTATAACTCAATTTTCTTAAAAACATCAGAAAACAAAAATAATGTTGCATCATATACTCACCTATGAACTAGCCCTGCCCCATCATCCAAGAGAAGGGGAAATATATGTAATACAAAGACTTGTACATGGATGCTCAAGGCAGCCTGGTGATAGCCTCAAACCAAAAACAACCCAGGTCCACCAAAAGGTGAAGAGATAAACTGTGGTATATCCATATAACGAACTACTACTCAGCAACAGAAAGCAACCACATGGATGAGGCTTAAGGTAATTGGGCTGAGTCAAGCCAGACAAAAAAGAATGTAAGCCGGGCTCAGTGGCTCAGCCTGTAATCCTGCGCTTTGGGAGGCTGAGGTGAGTGGATTGCCTGAGCCTGCGGGTTCGAGACCCGCCTAGGCAACTTGGTGAGACATCTCTACAATAAATCAAAAAAATTAGTTGGGCGTGGTAGCGCATGCCTATAGTTCCAGCTACTTGGCAGATTGAGGCAGAAGGATCGCCGGAGCCCAGCAGGTCGAGGTTGCGGTGGCCGGGAGCATGCCACTGGACTATGGTATGGGCGACAGAGTGAGACTCCAACTCAAAAAAAAAAGCATACTGATTCCATTTATATAAAACTCTAACACAAATAATCTCTAGTGATAGAAAGCAGATTTCAAAATGAATGGACATGGTTGGGACTCAACGAAACTATGTATTTGTTCAGGAATGGAGGGAGGTGTTGGAGAGGGAGAAGAAAAGCTTGGAAGAGCTTGGAGGGAGAATAAATGATCAACAGGCCTGACCATTATAAATGATCACTTTTACTATCTTATTGTGGTGACGGCTCCACGACATGTACTTACACTAAGACCTAGCAAACTATATGTTTTATTATTAATATTATTATTATTATTTTGAATTGGATCTCCCGGCCACCGCAGCCTTGAGCTGGTGGGGCTCTGCTGATCCTTCCGCCTCAGCTTTCCAAGTGGCTGGAATTACAGGTGCGTGCTACCACCCCCGGCTATTTTTGATTTACTGTAGAGAGGTCCCACAAGTTGCCCAGGCGGGTCTCGAACACGCGGGCTCAGGCAATCCACTCACCTCAGTCTCCCAAAGTGCGGGATTACAGGCTGAGCTACTGAGCCCAGCTCTATTTGCTTTAAATATGGAAAATGCATTGCATGTACCTCAATAAACCTGTGAACAAAGTACTAATCATATGTTTAAAAAATCTGAAATGTCTTTAACATTACTTACCTTCTTTGCACTCTTCCTTTTTTTTATCAGCCTGCTGTCTAGCCAACTGCCTACAAAAAATATATTAAATAATTCAAAATAACTTTAAGTTTTATATTCTATAATATTACAAACAAGACAAAAAGTTAAATCAGCCTGGAGAGTAACTACTCAGATACCTAAAAGCTTTAAAAACACTGAAAAAAAGTTTGTCTATGCTTATATAAGTTATAGCAAAAAAAAAGTCTAAAAAACTAAGTTCAATGATATATGTATTAACTCTTAGCTGAACAGAATTAATCACATCAAAGTATCTTTCTTGAAACAAGAAACGAAATCCTTAGCCTAAGTTTTTAAAGCATAATTGAATTAAGCATTGAGCAAAAAGACATGTTTTATGCAAGAAATACAGTGGTCCTGTGTCCTTGAGGAATTTACAACTATAAACAGAACTAATGCCCCTAGTGATATGGTAATTGACTTTTATGAACATATGCTGGCTACAATCTTTATGTGACATGCATTATCACTCACATGTAGAAGCAGATCTATTTATGAATTAGATAATCCCTACAAACTGGTGCACAGAATATACTGAATTGGAAACAATACTTTCTAAGCCTTAAAAACAAAAACAAAAAACCTATTTTCTTTCCAAAGTCCACTGAGCAAAACAGTGTTCCATTAATTTATTTTTCCATACTTCAGACAGGCTCTATCCGTTTACCAGCCTATTTATCAAGCTATTTGCAGGTGGGTTGGTTTATATGTGGAATTTCAACTATTAATACCATATTAGCCGGGCTCGGTGGCTCAGCCTGTAATCCCACGCTTTGGGAGGCTGAGGTGAGTGGACTGTCTGGGCTCACGGGTTCGAGACCCGCCTGGGCAACTTGGTGAGACCTCATCTCTACAATAAATCAAAAAATTAGCCGGGCGTGGTAGCACGCGCCTATAGTTCCAGCTACTTGCAAGGCTGAGGCTGAAGGATCACCAGAGCCCAGCAGGTCGAGGCTGTGGTGGCTGGGAGTGGCCACTACCCTCCAGTCTGGGCGACAGAGACTCCAACTCAAAAAAAAAAAAAAAAAGAAAAAAAGAAAAGAAATCATCTTATCCAGATGAGTAAAATCGTACATTCTCATAACTATGTAAATTATCATTAATTCCCTACCTCTGCTGGAACACAAGTAAGAACCAAGAAGAAAACAAAAACCTGCATACCCATTCCTAAACCAGAGGAAGTGAGGACCAGTAGGAGGCCCAAACTTCACCTGCACATACATTACACATGTGCCTAATCCTGACTTGTACCTCCCATCTTATAATAAAACTAAAAAAGAAAAGAAAAGAAAAAGCTTTCAGCATCCATCTGAAAGGCTTAGTTCATCCACAGGCTCACAAATTTTTCTCATAAGGTAGCCTTCCCTCCACACCAGGAAGGTCTTCACATTTTATAAACCAGGTCCCTCTCAGTTGCTCACAAGGATTATAGCAGTCTTTCTCCCTGACCCTTTCTTTTGCCTGCAGGGGAAACAAAGTACTTTCATCCTTTCAAGGACTGGTAAACTTTTCCTTAGATTGCTGGAGAGTAAGTATTTAAGGCTTGTAACCATGTAGTCTCTGTCACAACTACCTGACATTATAGGGTGAATGGAGCCACAAACAAAAAGAATGGGCATGGCTGTGTTCCAATGAAACTATTTACAAAAACAGGCAGCTGGACTTTGTCAATCCCTGTGAATCCATGAAAGCGATGGATCCTTTCTCCCTAGAAAATTACATGTACTGTACACATAAGTTTAAACATTACTTCAGAGGCTTTGTGCACTTCTTGTGATGACTATATATAATCACTGGACCCTAGGTAAGAACCCCAGAATCAAAGAAGTATAAGATCCTGCCCTCACGGCAGTTACTGAAATCTTTCTGTGTTTTTCTACCAATCTTAATCCTCTGGTCTTTGAGTCCTAAACAGATGGGAAAACAAAGGGTAAAAAAGAACAGAAAGGAAGGAAGTAAAGGAATTATTACAGTCAGGCATACTGACAATGGGGAAAAGGTTAAGAAACAGGAAAAGTACAGAAAGCAGACTAAAAAACACGGCAGGTTATTCTAGATAGGCCTTATACAAACAGGTCCTAATGTTAGCATCATGTAAAATAATAATCACTAGTTGTAATAATGACCTGAATACAGGGAGATAGTTTTTTGTAAGAGAATTCTCCATAGAAGACGAACAGATCAATAACCACATAAAACGGCACTCAAGGTTATCAGCCACCACAGAAAGGCAAATCAAAACCAGAAAGGCAACAAGACACTTCACATCCATTAAGATAGTAACTATGGCAAATGTTGGTGACAAAGTGGGGCAACTGGAACCCTCGTGTGCTACTGGTGGGCACAGAAAATGGTACAGCTGCTTTGGAGAACAGTTCAACAGTTCCTCAAAATGTCAGGGTCTCTATTTACTCAGCAACAGCACTCCTAAGCATATATATGCACAAAAAAACTCAAAACCTACATCCATACAAAAATGTGTATTTCTTGTGTTCCTATTATTATTTATGACAACCAAAAAGTGGAAATACAAATGACCCCCAAGTAATGAATAAGTAAACAAAACATGGTCTATTCATGCAACAGAACCATTTGGCAATAAAAAGAACTAGCACTGATAGATACAACAACATAAATGAGCCATGAAATCATTATACCAAGTGAAAGTCAGACACAAAAGGTCATATATTGTATGATCCCATTTATCTAAAATGTCCAGAGCAGTCAGATCCAAATAGACAGAAAGTAGATTAGAGTTTCCTAAGGCTGGGGCTGAAGAGAGAGTTGATGGGCACCAGGTATCTTTTTGGGGCGATGAAAACGTTCTGAAATTACATACTGGTGATACCTGCATAATACTGTCAAATACTAAAACAACAGAATTGCACACTTTAAAATTGTGTATTTTACGGCAGATGAATTATATCTCAATAAAGCTGCTATTAAGAAAATAATACATTCGTGACCTGCCTGGGCAATTTGGCGAGACCTCATCTCTACAATAAGTCAAAATTTAGCCAGGCATGGTAGCACGCGCCTGTAGTTCCAGCTATTTGGAAGGCTGAGACGGAAGCCCAGCAGGTCAAGGCTGCAGTGGCTGGAAGCGGCCACTGCCCTCCAGTCTAGGTAACAGAGTAAGACTCCAACTCAAAAAAAAAAGAAAAAAAGAAATAATATAGCCAGGTGCAGTGGCTCAAGCTGGTAATCCCAGCATTTTGGGAGGTGGAAGTGAGAAGACTGCCTGAGGCCAGAGGTTCATTCACCACCAGCCTGGGCAACTTGGTGAGACCTCGTCTCTACAACAAATCAAAAAGATATTAGCTGGGCATGGAGGTGTGTGCCTGTAGTTCCAGGTAATTGGAAGGCTGAGGCAGAAGGATTGCCTGAGCCTATCAGGTTGAGGCTGCGTGGCCATGAGTGTGCCACTGAACTCCAGCCTGGATGACAGAGTGAGATTCCAACTCAAAATTAATTAACAACAACAACACAGGCTCATGCCACCAAGCCCGGGCATTTACTTATTTATTTATTTACTGGAGAGACAAGGTCTCGTCATGTTGCCCAGGCTGGTCTCGAACCCATGGACTGAGGTAATCCTCTCGCCTCAGCTTCCCAAAGTGCTAGGAGTACAGGCATGAGCCACTACACCCAGCTAAGTACTTATTTTAATACACGCCCTTAATACCTTTCTAACATAAAGCCCGGACAATGTTTCACCAACTTGAATAATGTACAGATTCTTCTAAAGGTAAAAACTTTGAGGACTTCCAACATTAAATCTTTATATTACATAAGGTTAAATTAGATAGAAAATCATTTTTAAGTTTTATACAAATAAAACTACAAAACCAACCGATAAAAAATATTAATAGCCGAGCTCGGTGGCTCAGCCTGTAATCCTGGCGCTTTGGGAGGCCGAGGTGAGTGGATTGCCTGAGTCCACGGGTTCAAGACCCACCTGGGCAACTTGGCGAGACCTCATCTTCACAAGAAATCAAAAATTAGCTGGGCATGGTAGTGCACGCCTGTAGTTCCAGCTACTCGGAAGGCTGAGGTGGAAGGATCACTTAAGTCCAGCAGGTCGAGGCTGCGGTGACCAGGAGCGTGCCACTGTACTCATGCACTCCAGTCTGGGCAACAGAGTGAGACTCCAACTCAAAAAAAAAACTAACATAACATGAAGTTTTGCTAAAATGAAGCAGCCATTTGGCATGTGAATGTGGTGTTACTTGCTATCCGTTTCTCTTGTGTTTGGCAATGACGTATATCGTATCTGTTACATACTGCTGTGTAGTACCATGATGACTCCACTCATCCACTCTTTCCTGGACATGCTCCAAACCTTCATTTAAGCACGTCATACCATATCTCGTGACTTTCCCTCGGAAGTGGATGTATCCTCTACGTATTAAGGTCAGACTTTGCTCTTATCTCATCAACCTGAGATAACAAGAGCTGAACTACTTGGGGTCAATTCAACTGTCAACATAAAAGCACAGCCTGAAATTTTATGGCAGTTCTCTAAAAAGGCAGCAATTCAGGTGACCTAGAATGTTTATTTTTTCCTTCCGTTCAGGATCACTTCCTTAACCCCCCCACCCCCAAACACCTCATGACGTCATCTTTCAGAAGCGTCAAACTCAGCTTATGTTGTATTTCATCCATTCTGATGTTGCACACATTCCCCCATGTCAACACCTCCGCAGTTGGAATGTGTCTTGTAATGGCTGGAAGGTCACTGTGAACTGTGTTCTTTCCTTTTTTGGTGTCTTATAAACAACGTTGCACGTTTCAATTGCTGATTTCATGGGTTCCAAGAAATGCAGTAGGGAATACTCCATAAATAACGGATGAATGAGATCAAAATTTCAACAATGTAATAAAAGCTTGATTAAATAGCTGAAAAAGTAACAATAAAAAACTCAGAACCTTAAAAGAACATAACCTCACCTATCTAAAAAATGCTATACAAAATGCAATCAAAATTTTATTTAAGAGTAGGAGTGAGTCGGGCTTGGTGGCTCAGCCTGTAATCCCGCACCTTTGGGAGACTGAGGTGAGTGGACTGCCTGAACCCATGGGTTCAAGACCCGCGTGGGCAACTCGGCGAGACCTCATCTCTACAATAAATCAAAAAATTAGCTGGGTGTAGTAGCGTGCGTCTGTAGTTCCAGCTACTTGGAAGGCTGAGGTGGAAGGATCGCCGAAGCCCAGCGGGTCGAGGCTGCGGTGGCCGGCCACTGCACTCCAGTCTGGGCAACAGAGTGAGACTCCAACTCAAAAAAAAGAAAAAGAAAAAAAAAAAATGAGTAGGAGGGGCTGGGCACAGTGGCTCAAGCCTGTAATCCCAGCACTTTGGGAAGACTAGGCAAGAGGACTGCCTGAGTCCAGGGGTTTGAGACCAACCTGGGCAACTTGGTGAGATCTCCTCTCTACAATCAATTAAAAAAAAAAAATTAGCCGGGCTCGGTGGCTCAGCCTGTAATCCCGTGCCTCTGGGGGGCTGAGGTGAGTGGATTGCCTGAGCCCGTGGGTTCGAGACCCACCTGGGTAGTGAGATCTCATCTCTACAATAAATTAAAAAATCAGTCGGGCATGGTAGCGCACACCTGTAATTCTGGCTACTTGGAAGGCTGAGGCGGAAGGATCACTGGAGCCCAGCAGGTCGAGGCTGTGGTGGCCGAA